GATGGCTCTCCTTTTGAGCTATTACCTAGACAGTGCTGTCTCCCCTCTTTGGGTTGTAAGTAGACAGCCCACTCTTGTGGTCTGGGTAGTTTCAGTCTGGTAGCCCTTCCTGGGTACATAGTGATCCGAGGATAGTTATGTGCTAGCTCAGTGATTGCTCCCCTGCTTAGGGTTTTAAGTAGTGGTCTTTTGCGCCATACCTAGACAGTGTTGTCTCCCCTCTTTGGGTCATAAGTAGACAACCCACTCTTGTGGTCTGGGTAGTTTTCAGTCGGTCCCACTTCTGGTAGCCCTTCCTAGGTACATAGCTATAGGAGGATATCTATGTGCTAGCTCAGTGACTGCTCCCCTGCTTAGGGTTTTTTGTAGCGGTCTCTTTGAGCCCTTGCCTAGACAGTGCTATCTCCCCTGCTAGGGTTGTAAGTAGATAGCCCCACTCTCTGTGGTCTGAGCAGCTCTGTAGAAAAGCTATCTAGGCTCTGACGTGGATTGGGGACTTCCTTAGTATAGCCATCTGAGGGTGGTTATATTCCAGCCATTGGTATGGCGGGACGGGCTTACCCGAATACAGCTATCTGACCCTAGCTGTGTTCTACTGCGGTTGCGGTAAGCCCTCTAATGGAATGGTCTTCTTTCCTTGAGCCTAGCTATCTGTGGATAGCTATGTGCTAGCTCAGTGATTGCTCTCCTTTTGAGCTATTACCTAGACAGTGCTGTCTCCCCTCTTTGGGTTGTAAGTAGACAGCCCACTCTTGTGGTCTGGGTAGTTTCAGTCCGGTAGCCCTTCCTGGGTACATAGTGATCCGAGGATAGTTATGTGCTAGCTCAGTGATTGCTCCCCTGCTTAGGGTTTTTTGTAGCAGTCTCTTGAGCCCTTACCTAGACAGTGCTATCTCCCCTGCTAGGGTATTAAGTAGATATCCCACTCTGTGGTCTGGGCAGCTCTGTAGGAAGGCTATCTCGGTTATGTTATTCTGGTACACAAGCCTTCATAAGACCTTAGGGACATAGCTATCGGAGGTCACATAGCATAACTATCTGAGGATAGCTGTGCTCTTAACTTTGGTGGGATGTTCCCCTTGATCTATTCGGGTTCCCCCGTTTCTGCCAAGTTGCGTGAGCGGCCCGTGGCATGTCCATCGCCCCTTTCTAAGGAAAGGCTTGGTGTATGTTTGTTGTTTCTTTGGTGCTCTCCCACCAGGTGGACAAGCATGCACCTCGGCACGGTGTGGTTCGATTTCGTTCCCCATTGTGCCCCCTAGGGGGCGCAGCATTTAATTCCATAGAAGGGGAACGTCTCGGGATACGTATGTAACCATGGTTCCCCGAGAGGAAACGAGACGCTACGCCCCCTTGCCATGCCTTCGGCCTGCCTGTGTACGTCTCCTTCAGACAGCTAAGTGGATGACGTATTCAGCAGGTGCCCTTTTATACTTCCGGCACCCTGCCTATGACGTCATGTGCCATGTGAGCCAATAGATTGGCGTTGTTTTCCACGTGCTTCCGACACCGGTCATGCAGGCTGCATTCCCCATTGTGCCCCCTAGGGGGCGCAGCATCTCATTCCCTCTCGGGGAACCATGGTTACATGCATAACCAGAGACGTTATTTTTTTGTTTTTTTATTAAACTACGATAGTATATCAATATTTTAAATACTTTTCCCCCCAGTTTTTATTTCAACTCAAGGTTTTTTTTTTGTGCTTGTTTTGTCATAATTATTAGTTTATTTATTTTTATTTCAGTTTTAGTAATGCAGTACTAAAATGAAAAAAAAAAATAAAAATTTATTTTCAGTTTATTTCCTTTTATTTCAAATACCATTCATTTTATTTCAAGTAATGAAATTGTTTGTTTTTAGTTTTCTATTATAGTATTCACATTTTAAATGTTTTTTATTTTTTACGTAACATTTACATTTTAAATGTTTTAAATGTAACTTTTATTAGTTTTCGCCTTTTAAAATAGTTTCTATTAATTTTTTTTGTTAATTAATTTTAAATTTTTATTTTAGTAACTTAAACTGAATCAAATAAAAATAAAAACCAAATAGATTATAAAATCTATCAACTAAATATGAAAGTTGTGTCATCGAATATTTATAATTTTTCAGTTTTATTCAAAGAATTATTAATAAACTGTATTGTAGTTTTGTCAGTGTTTAGTTGGTAAAGTGGAGCTTCTCTTACCATGTTGAGCTCCTCAAACTTGGCACGGGTCAGCGTCTCAGAGAAGTCTTCACCCTCGAAGAAGGACTCAATCTCGATGCGGGCCTGATGCTGGGCAGACAGCGCTCTCTTGGCCTTCTCCACCTCACGACGCAGCTTCTGCACGGCGCGGTTGTCCTTGCGCACGTCCTTGCCGGTCTTCTTCTTGTATAGCTTGATGAAGTGCTCCATGACGCGCTGATCGAAGTCTTCGCCGCCAAGGTGAGTGTCTCCATTGGTGGCCACCACCTCGAAGACGCCGTTATCGATGGTCAGCAGTGAAACGTCAAAGGTGCCGCCGCCGAGATCAAACACCAGGATGTTCTTCTCACCGTCCCTCTTGTCCAGACCGTAAGCAATGGCGGCAGCGGTTCTGTGGAGAGCAAGTTGTTCAACAGGGTTATTATTAACAATTAAATCCATAAAAAAAAAAATATATATATTTTTTCCCCCCAGTTAATGTTCATTTTATTTCAAGTAACAATACTTAAAAAAAAAAAAAGAAAAAAAAAAGGACGTCCATCAGGGGCCATAAAACATCGTATTTATTGGTTTTAAAAATTAAAACAAATTAATAAAATAAATGACTGAAAAAACAAACAAAAAAAAAAGACATTAATTTTATTTCAGTTAGTTTCCAAGTTTACTAAAATTAAAAAAAATAAATAAAAATCAAGATGCCCATCACAGTTATTATTATTAATTAAAATTTAAAACAAATATATATTAACATTAATTTTACTAAAAAATCTAAAACTTAAATTACTAAACTACATAGACATTTAAAAATAACAAAAACCAATTAGAATTTTCTTTTTAAAGTTAAAAGACAAAAATACTCAAACATGAATGAATGAATGCATTTATATAGCGCTTTGTGTATTACTGTACACCCAAAGAGGTTTACAATCATGTTGGGGGGTCTCTCCTCAACCACCATCTTAAAAAATAAAAGCTGACAATATAAAAATAAATTCTATCAGTTTATTAATAAAAGCTATAATAGGAAATCAATGATACTAAATAACACTGATGTCAATTTAAACAAGATTCCTTTAAGAAAATAAACTGTTTTACAACCATGTAGAAGTAATTAGATACTTACGGCTCATTGATGATCCTCATGACGTTCAGTCCGGCGATGATTCCTGCATCTTTGGTGGCCTGGCGCTGGGCGTCATTGAAATAAGCGGGCACAGTGACCACAGCATGCGTGACCTTTAGAAGAGCAGAAACAGATCAGATGTTGAGTTTTACTGCAGTGCAACAGAGATGTTTTCTTGGTGTTGGAGTCAAAACTTTACCTTCTTTCCCAGGTAAGCCTCTGCGGTCTCCTTCATTTTTGTCAGAACCATGGCAGAGATTTCCTCAGGGGTGAAAGTCTTCATCTGACCTGATCCGATGTCCAGCTGGATGTGAGGCTTGTTCTTCTTCTCAATAACCTGGAAGAGACACAGCAGGTGTTTAGTGTCCCCATTGAAGACAAAGAGACAAATACAGTTCAAATAGTTTAAACACAGGCTGGCAGACAGGTTTACCTTAAAGGGAAAGTATTTAATGTCCTGCTGCACAGACGAGTCACCCCATGTGCGGCCGATCAACCTCTTGGCGTCAAAGACTGTGTTCTCAGGATTGGAGGTCAGCTGGTTCTTCGCAGCGTCTCCGATGAGTCGCTCACCTTCAGTGGTGAAGGCCACGTATGACGGAGTGATGCGGTTTCCCTGGTCATTGGCGATGATCTCGACACGGCCGTTCTTGAACACTCCAACACTGGTCCAGACCGTAAGCAATGGCGGCAGCGGTTCTGTGGAGAGCAAGTTGTTCAACAGGGTTATTATTAACAATTAAATCCATAAAAAAAAAAATATATATATTTTTTCCCCCCAGTTAATGTTCATTTTATTTCAAGTAACAATACTTAAAAAAAAAAAAAGAAAAAAAAAAGGACGTCCATCAGGGTCCATAAAACATCGTATTTATTGGTTTTAAAAATTAAAACAAATTAATAAAATAAATGACTGAAAAAACAAACAAAAAAAAAGACATTAATTTTATTTCAGTTAGTTTCCAAGTTTACTAAAATTAAAAAAAATAAATAAAAATCAAGATGCCCATCACAGTTATTATTATTAATTAAAATTTAAAACAAATATATATTAACATTAATTTTACTAAAAAATCTAAAACTTAAATTACTAAACTATATAGACATATTTAAAAATAACAAAAACCAATTAGAATTTTCTTTTTAAAGTTAAAAGACAAAAATACTCAAACATGAATGAATGAATGCATTTATATAGCGCTTTGTGTATTACTGTACACCCAAAGAGGTTTACAATCATGTTGGGGGGTCTCTCCTCAACCACCATCTTAAAAAATAAAAGCTGACAATATAAAAATAAATTCTATCAGTTTATTAATAAAAGCTATAATAGGAAATCAATGATACTAAATAACACTGATGTCAATTTAAACAAGATTCCTTTAAGAAAATAAACTGTTTTACAACCATGTAGAAGTAATTAGATACTTACGGCTCATTGATGATCCTCATGACGTTCAGTCCGGCGATGATTCCTGCATCTTTGGTGGCCTGGCGCTGGGCGTCATTGAAATAAGCGGGCACAGTGACCACAGCATGCGTGACCTTTAGAAGAGCAGAAACAGATCAGATGTTGAGTTTTACTGCAGTGCAACAGAGATGTTTTCTTGGTGTTGGAGTCAAAACTTTACCTTCTTTCCCAGGTAAGCCTCTGCGGTCTCCTTCATTTTTGTCAGAACCATGGCAGAGATTTCCTCAGGGGTGAAAGTCTTCATCTGACCTGATCCGATGTCCAGCTGGATGTGAGGCTTGTTCTTCTTCTCAATAACCTGGAAGAGACACAGCAGGTGTTTAGTGTCCCCATTGAAGACAAAGAGACAAATACAGTTCAAACACAGGCTGGCAGACAGGTTTACCTTAAAGGGAAAGTATTTAATGTCCTGCTGCACAGACGAGTCACCCCATGTGCGGCCGATCAACCTCTTGGCGTCAAAGACTGTGTTCTCAGGATTGGAGGTCAGCTGGTTCTTCGCAGCGTCTCCGATGAGTCGCTCACCTTCAGTGGTGAAGGCCACGTATGACGGAGTGATGCGGTTTCCCTGGTCATTGGCGATGATCTCGACACGGCCGTTCTTGAACACTCCAACACTGGAACAAAATAAAATAGTATAAGTACACACAAATAATAGAGAACGTAATAATGTTTTAAGCTCAGGATTACTAGAAAATTATAAATAATTTTTATATATATATTATATATAAAATAGAGAAATGTTTTAAAGCTGACCATTACTAGAAAATAATACATTAAATAAAAAAATAAATATATAAAATATATAAATATGCATGCTTTTCTTGTCTTGAAAATCTAATTTAATGGCCCTGTGAACCCTGTATATGAATCCAAACTTATTCTCACCATGAGTAGGTCGTCCCGAGGTCTATTCCAATCACTGTCCCAACACTGTCCTTCTTGTCGTCCTCTTCGGCAAAAACGCTGCCGGCCACCAGCAGGAACAGGCAAAGCAGTCGCATTTTGATGTTGATCTCGTGTCAAATGGTCTCTGATTTCTGTAAAGAGTACTTTAAACATAAAGGTCAGAGGTCAGAGCAGGTACATAATGAAGCACATGACACTCATTGGATGGACAGACGGCTATAATCAAGCAATGCATTTTCATGCAAAAACTAATGAATGGAAAACTCCACATCTTCTACATAGTTTGGAATGGCTGCATTGAGTTCAGCTGCAAATACATATTAAGCCGCTCAAATATGAAGAATGTGAAAATACTAAATACATAGTTAATAAAGGCCAATGCAAACAATAGATACTAACGTTAGATGTCCAAAAAAAATATGTAGTAGTCAATCACAACCTAGTCATGAGTAACTAGTCTCCAGTTCGACCTCGTGGGTGCTGATCACAGCTCATCAAATCCTCATTTTGACCATTTACTCCAAATAGTAATATTATGATATAATGTAAAGAATTTAAAACGTATTATAAAAACCTATTTAAGATAAAATAAAAAATAAAAAACATTAATTCGGCTCGTGTTACCGCTTACTATCGAATGAATTAACATTACAAGCAGCAAACAAGACGCATTTTTAATTGCATTTACAATAACTTAAAAAAAAAAAGATATTTACATGTATATTTTTAATCTAGCAACGTTTCTCAAGACTATCAAAACAGTTATAACGGGTTGCTTTGATACAGCTCTTTATGAGATAAACCAACTAAATGAATAGTTTAAATGAGATACCTGATAAGTGTAGTAATAAGCTCTGTTGTGAAGGGTGTGGATGCTGCCGGTCTCTCTTTCTCTGTCTCTCTGTGTTTCTCGTGTTTTCTCTGAGTCTGAACTGTAACTCATGGCGCTGCGCTCGCCTGTTTATAAGCCGTCAGCGCTTCCCCGTCGTGGAGCCTCGCCATTGGTCGGAGAGCAGCTCGTTGGAAGGCGCTGATTGGCTGAGCGTTGCACGCTGGCTGATGCTGATTTGCACACGTACTGGCGGCGGAAACGTCATCGGTTGAGGCGAACTGTAACGATTTGATTGGTTCGCGTCAAAGCGTCAGTCTGGATGCTCTCGAACCAGGCCAAGAAATCGGAATATTTTTATTAAAACTTACGGAAAAACACCCATTCTTCACAGGTTTAGATATTGTATGTGTTACTCACATATGCACCTACACATGACATATCTCTTACATGGGACGTGACTCTTCTATTCTCAAATAAAAGCAGGGATATTGTGTATATAAGCGACTGTCTGTACATTATCCTGCTCTAATTTCAAAATAAATAAAAGATGCATACAATTTTTTGTCATTATACATACACATTTGACTATGACACCGTATATATTCAGGTAATATGTTTATTTAACTGATAAAGTGCTAATAAATAACCACTGAGAATCAGTATGTGTGCCAAATGCATGCATGAATATCTGGCATATTCACAGTGATGTTGTGGTTTGGTGACTCATGAGCAAAACTATCAGTGTGCAAACAACAAATGATCAGCTGTCATGTAATGATGAAAAGATAAGGAATAAACTGGCAATGCTATTCAATTCTGAATCTAGTATGGCTGCTTTAAATGGTTATTCTGACATATTATTGATTAGGACTTATTAATTTAAATTTCTGAATTGATTTAGCATATTTCTGTATAGCTTGAGTGTTATATTTTCATTTGTATCTTTCATTTACCAGTGGTGCTAATGAATTACGGGTAGTATCATCATGTCATGCCATTGATAGTGTGTGGAAATCATTCAGATTTTCAATCATGGGTGTCTTGTAAAATATAAATTCAAATTTTTTTTCACAATAAAATATTTCCATGGACAATCCCAGCAGAGGAGCGTCTCGTTCAAGGTTACACAAGTCTTTTAGCAACTCAACATTTCATTACAAAATAGAGTTAAAGTTACGCTAGTATAATTACCTGATCAGACACCATCCTTCAGATGCTTTATAGAACAGATAAAATGATCTAGCAATAAAAAAATCATCAATACGTCAAATGTACAGTATATTAGCATACAAAAGATTGATCAATTCAATCACTGTACAATCATGAGACCATTGATATAAAGACATACTAGATATTCTTGATATTGCCTCTGACTAAATACATAACAAGCTGCCCTGAGAAATCAACAAAAGAAAGAGGAAGTTCAAGAGTAAAAAAATAAACAAAAGGTTTGCTGGGCCCTTATGCTGTGTCATACACACTTACTAATGTCATTCAGACACTATCAGTGATTGGAAAGTGTAAATCTGCATCAGAAATGATCAGACTTCACCATGTAAACTGACATTTTCACACTAAACTTGTGATTTATTGTAAATTATGAAAAGGTTTGATTATTGCGCATGCAGCACAGAGCCAAAATTTTATTCATTTATAAATTAATGTTTATTTTTTTCAGTTTTAGTGTTAGTAATTTAGTAATGAATAAAAAAAAAGGAAATTAAAAAGATAAAATATTTTCTAATATTTATATATCTGGTAACACTTTTCAATAATGTTCCATTAGATAATGTTAGTTAACTAACAGGAACAAACAATGAAAAGTACATTTATTACAGTATTTATTAATCTCTGTTAATGTTAGTTCATTGTTAGTTCATGTTAATTCACAGTGCATTAATGTTAACAAGCACAGCTTTCGATTTTTATCATTAAAATTAATAAATACTGTAGAAGTATTGTTCATTCTTAGTTCATGTTAACTAATGAACCTTATTGTAAAGTGTTACCATATATTTTTTTAAATAGTTTTGTTTTAATAGTTGTAGTTTTAAATGTTTTTAAAGCAGTCTATCATTCACCCAAATGCATGAATTGTTTATATTTCAGGGGAACAAAATCTACTCCATTTTATTTCTCAGTGATGCAAACAACTGTGCTCATTTTGTATCTAACCTTTATTTTGTAATTGTGGTAGAAATGTTATATGTTGCCGGATTTTGAAAAATAACTTGTAGTATGTGACATGACGTTTACCCAGAAGCCCCTGATCCCGAACACCCTCCCTTTACTGTTTTGTGTTACTTTTCCTATTTGACTGCAGTAGACCGTTTAATAGGTCTTGAAGAAGAAAAAAAAACTCACTGTATTAAATGTAAACCTTAAAATGTATTGTTTTTTATTCCCATTTTAGTCAACCCAGTATTATAAAACAAGCTGACCAGCAGTCGTCTGTAATAAAGGCAGCTGTGAGACAAAAATAAAAACTTTTGCAAAAATAAAACTGGTATATAAAATAAAACAAAAATAGGACAAATACAATAGACGAAATGTTCCGTTTTTCCAGGTACATTAGACTAAGTTTAACATGTCTTAAGAAGTACTGCAGCAATTGAATCAAATATAAAAATTAAATACAGTATAGTCTTCACTGTATGAACTACATATAAATTGATTCATAGTAAAAATACAAAAAACAAGTGATTCAGGGCTGGATTTACATTAATCTAACAGGTGGAAACAGTTTATTACAAAGTGCATTTTGACATAACTGTGTGTGTATTTGACAGTTTAAGTGCAATAAGCTGTGAAAGAGACCTGAATTCAGGATCACACGCGTCTGAGAGGCGCGTTTCAGCTGTGTGTCCGTCAGAGTGAACACTGCATTGAGTCCTTTGACACTCTAATGTGCCAATAACTTAAAGTAGTACAGTGAAGCTAAAAATTTAACACTTTAGAAAATCGATTTTTGAAATTTGTGAATTGATGCCAATCGGCAGAAGTTAGAATCTCGATACATATGTGAATCAATTTTTTCCCTCACCCCTAATCGAGCCTCAAACCGGGCTGACTGAATTCGAGGCTTTACGTTCGCCCGTCTCGTAAAAAAATGTCCGCGTGTTCAATATGTACACCTAGAGAGCCGAGGGCATCATGCGACTGAAAACAGAGTCTGAGCGATCTACAACTCATCCATTTCGTCTTCTTCCTCCACTGCCGTACATCTTGCTTACGATAGACTGCACAATTTCCTCCAGCTCCTTCTTCTTGGCCTGGAAGTCCTCAAGGTCTGCCTCCTGGTAAGACTCCAGCCACTCGATCTGTTTCAGCAGTTATGTGTGTCCCGTATTTCTGTCCAGTGAACCAGCCATGCCACTAATTATGGATTAATCATTATTTTGAGTCATATGAATCATATGAAGCGTTCCTCTGTCAGTAAAACAAACTGTATCGAGATACTTAAGAACACACATAACGCTGGATGAAGTAGAATCAACTCTAAAAGCAGTAAAACATGTTGTAAATGGAAAATTTTACACTCTCTAGAGCGCACACACAAATACGCACTGTTTCGCCAATATGTTAGTATTATAGCTTTATCTTTAGCAGCTCCGTGAAACCAGACCTGAAGGGAATTATTATATTTGTGGGTCCCTGGCATCAAACAGATTGAAAAACCACTGATCTGTGGACAGCGCGTGCTGTCTCTCTCACACACAAGGCATCAGTTATCGTCCACTATGACACACTACACGAGATGAAACGATTGAATCTTGCGTCCCGACGCCCATTGTCGTTTATGAATCCCCACGACACCCATTTTGTGTCATTATAAATAAATGTTTGACAGAGTTTACTATAATATTCAGGCAATAAGCTTTTTTAACTGATAAAAGTGCAAATAAATAACCACTGAGGGTCAATTGAGAATCAGATGGGTGTATGTGTGCCAAATGCATGCATGAATATATGGCACATTCACAATGACATTGTTGTGGTTTGGTGACTCATTACCAGAGTGTGAGCAAAACTATCTGCGTGCAAACAAATGATTAGCTGTCATGTAATGATGCAACGATAAGGAACAATCTGGCAATGCTTTTCAGTATGATTCAATTCTGAATCGAAATTACACTAGTTCTATGACTGCATTACCCAGATAGCACACGTATGTCTGCAAGATGTCTGTTAAAGATCGCTTCATCTGGAAAGCATCTGCTGTGTCCAAACATCTGACAGACGTCTTCAAGATGTCAGTTTTACATTCATTCTAAATCATAAACATCTTTAAGACCTTTTCTAAACGTCTGTTTGACAACTGATAGGAAACGTCCTAAAGACGTATTGCAGATGAGCAAACACTCTAAAAAAACGCGTCTTGCTGATGTAAATGTAGATGTCAAATAGATGTCTCCTTGATGTACGTGTGCTATCAGGGTATAGATGTAAAGCAAAATGGTTTGTTTTTCTAACATTTTATTGACCAATTAACTTATTGATCAACTTAAATTTCTGAACTGATTTAGAATATAGCCGCAAGCGGTGATCATCGGGGTCCAAGCACGACCCATTAGGCAATTGATGTTGAAAAGACATCAAATTGACATCAAAATTGACACAAAAAAAAACAGGTCAAATATGCAAATCCAACTGATGTCAAAAACTTGAAATGACGTTGATTTGATGTAAATTGAATGTCAAACATATTGGCCTATGTATACATTAAACCAATTTCAGTGTGGGATTAACTTCCTATTTTCACCCAATTACCACTGGAAGAAATTGCTGTCCAAACGGAATTTAAAATAACGTTACAGCATTGTCATCAATGACTAATATTTGATGTCAAAATTGATATCAAGGTGCCCGCTGGGAAACGCCTTGTGTAGTGGATAAATGTCAAAAATAATAAGTGGATCCTGTTGCAAAACACAAAAAAATCCTCGTCCAGGCACTCACATAGTAAGCAAAGTAAAAAGCCTTTACTATAAGACAGGGCTACATATTAAAAAGTCACCAACGCATATTGACACAAGCAGGCCTGACGACATACATACATACATACACACTTTTTTGGCCAAATGTTGTGGATGTGAAATGTTGGTGGAACATGTCCATAGTTAATATAATTAATTCACTGAGCAAAATCATGAAGTGAAGTTAGTTCTGAGAAAAGTTCCTGTAAAATTTAAAGGGGTCATAGGATGCTACATACACTTTTACAAGTTGTTTGTCATTAACATTTAAAGGAAAATGCTACAAAAATGGCTTGATCTGAAAAGAGCTGTTTTTGACAGGGTAAAAAAGGTGTTTTTTACACTACCATTAAGAAATTTTAACCAAACTATGTTACAGACTTTTCATTAAGACCCTAAAGAATCATATCAACTTGTGGAAAATGGGCATCATATGACCCCTTTAAAGTCTAATGATATTTTCTGCTACAATACATTTCAGACACTTTTGAAAGTGACTTCAGAGTTCAAAGGTCTCTAAGTACATTTGGGGCTACTTTGCATATTTCATACTGTTTTTACATGCTACTTTTAAAAATAGCAGGCAGTATAGCAAGCAGTTCATATTACATTCAAGATTAAAATTTGTGAATTATTGCTGCATACAGCAAAGACACACAGTATACATACTACAGTATATACTGCAGAAACAGTAAAAGTGTCTGCAAAAACACAAAATAAAAGACCCCTGGAGGAAGAACAGCCATGATGAAAGGTATTAACATTTATCGCAATATCTATGTTGGAAACAATGTTGTAATGCTAGTTTGAAAGCTCTTGTGTATTAGGTGTGTGTTGCATATGTTGTTATCATGAAAACATATCTGAAAATTTGTGGTAATATTCTCTGAGCAAACAGATAAAACGGAGCAAAAACGGTTTTTAATGCTTGCTCATGTGAACAGGGAAAGAGTTACTGATACTGAAGCAAGGTATAAATCTGTTTATAAATCTTAAAATTAACTGAAGATTGTGAATTTAGGTAAAGCGGTGAAGAGCCAAGGGTTGTTTTGTAGGCAAACATCAAGGCCTTGAATTTTATGCGAGCAGCTATTGGTAGCCAGTGCAAATTGTTACATTAGGATGGAATGAGAGATAGAGTGGAGTGTCATCAGAATAGCAGATAGAAAAAGCCATGTTTCTGAATGGCAGAACTTAGTGATGCCATGTAGACCGAGAAGAGAAGTGGTCCAAGCACTGAGCCCTGAGGCACCCTAGTAGCTAGATGTTGCGACTTGGACACCTCACCCCTCCAAGATACCTTGAAGGACCTATCTGAGAGGTAAGACTTGAACCACTGAAATGTAGTTCCTGAGATGCCCTTTCCCATGAGGGTTTACAGAAGGATCTGATGGTTAATGTTGTCAAAAGCTGCGGCCAGATCCAGCAAGATAAGTATTGAAGATTTGGAAGCCGCTCTTGCCAGTCTTAGAGCTTCCAACAACCGAGAGCAGGGCTTACCTGAGCATGAGCACACCTGAAGCTTCTTAGCGGGTTCCTTCAGTGTGACAACTTCTTGTGCAGTGCCTACCTTCTCCTTATTCTTATCCATTCCAAAGTGACTAGGTGTGTGATCTATCCGTGTGTCGTCGTTCACCCCCACTCTCGTCGACACCAGGGGTATTCTTCCTTTACTTTGCTCATAGCTAAAGGTGGGCATCTACATGTACTACTTTGTTCTGGAGCCTACTGACAAGGGTAGCTAGCCCCTGCCAGCCCCAGATGGGGTCTGTTCCCTGCAGTCAGCTGTTTTTCCTTGCTGTTACAAGGTCTTTCCCTTGTTGTCAGCTATTCTGCTCCTAGCTGTCACTGAATGCATCCAGATACACTCATTTGAAAACATAGGTGGTTTTAAGTCCCACAAAATGGTATAAGTCCCCACCGCACTAGTTGAATATAAAGTTGCCACCACCAGCAAATGTTCTGGGCCACCAGCAGATGAAATAGAACCCATCTGGTTTCGGCCTTTTAAAAACAAGACACCCTCCGCAGAGGCAGGCCCACCACAGGTTGATCAGACCTTGGTGTGGGTCCCTATCATCTTGGGGCCCAGCTGGGGTCTTTCCTCCTAAACCATAGCCACCATCTGCAGTTTTCTGCAGTATCTGCCACTTCTCTGATGGTCTGGCGCAGGGTTTAACCATGGATTCCCAACTCCTTAAGAAGCTTGATAGTAGATGTTGCCAAAAAGCCCCAGCAGCCAACCTCCACAGGGTGGACTGAAGCTTTCCAGCCCTGCTGATGAGCATTGTTTGCCATTTCCACATATCATAGCCTCTTCCTCTCATTTGCTTCTTCTGTGCCATCCTCCCAGGGTACTTTGAGTTCGATGAAATAGACAAACTGCAGTGTATTGGACTGCAAGTTGCTGACCTACATCAGCCAGCATCTGCCAGTCCCTGACTCCCCCCAAATACACAAATGAGTCGAGATGAAACATTATAGCAACATACAATAGAATGTTTCTTTATCTTTTTTCCATTTCAAAAGTAGTTTTAAATGTGACCTATTATGCCCCCTTTAACAAGATGTAAAATAAGTCTCTGATGTCCCCAGAGTGTTTATATGAAAATAACGACACAAACTTTATAAGTCCCACTTGTGATTACGAGCTCAACAAATTCAAGCGGTGGACTTCACATTGCTTTCATATGCAAAGTTTTAACTACCACTTTCCTATTTACGATCGTTCTGGTAGCACGTGAAGGCAGCATCAGTGAACACAGGCAGAGACAATTATAGCTTTAGCAACATTAGCCTTACAGAGTGCCAAGAAGCTCTTTTAGAAAGGCAATTTAGAAAACAAAATATAACTCCTACGTTCGTTTGTGCATTCCAAAACAACACTTATAATGCCTCTTTGGCGCTGACATTGTATATCTCCAACAGCTACAGCAAGAAAACAGTAATGGTGGACTGCTGCTTCTCACTCAGGGCTGTGTCTATGCTAATTGGGCAGAGATCGTCACAACTGGGTGGGATTTTTTTCCCTACAACAACGTCATTGTCGGGAGAAATCTGGAATCACGTATTCAGAGACTGTTTATGACTTATTGGGATTATAAAAAAAATGAGTGGGTGGATTTTTACCATTATAGGCTGGTTGTTTTCACACACTGTGGCCACACAACTGTGTTCAAATACCTTATAAAAGTGATTTTTGCAAAATAGGTCCCCTTTAAAATACATATTGACTTCATACTGTCTTAAACTGCTTGCCCCTCCTTCTCCAGAAGAAAAAGGCATATTCAGTCATATAAATATCATGACTACTGGATCACTGTCAAATATCCAGCTAATTTTGCAATGCAGAAGTACACTATTTTCAATGGAAGCATGTTTCTGACTTTTTATCTGACAATTCAGACTTGTTTTTGCAAATCTGAGAATAGTCAAAATTGCGAGATATAAACACTGATATAAACTCACAATTCTGCCTTTTTTTTTCTCTGAATTATGAGATTGTATCTCGCAATTCTGACTTTTTTTCTGAATTGTGAGTTTACATCTCGCAGCATTGAGTCTAGAGGTGGGAGTCGTCTGTAGTAAAGCAAGGCAGCACTGAGACAAATAGAAAAACCACTTAGTACATAAAAATGAACCATGGTTTTATTGAAGTAAAAGTGTAGTAACCATGATTTTTTGGCGCATTGATTAACATTTTTATAACCACAGTTTTACTACAAATACCATGGTTAAACTATGGTATAACTATGGTTAATTTGTGGTTACCATGGTTTAACTATAGTAACCATGGTTTTTTGGTTTTATTTGTGGTAAAACCATGGTTAATTTTCGTAAGGGATAATATTCCTTGATACAAAAATAAAAACATTTGCAAACATAAAGCTGGTAAATAAAATAAACAATAGGACAAATACAATAGACAAAATCTTCAAATGAAATAAAGTTTTTCAGGTACATTAGCCTAAGATTAATCTGTCTTAAGAAATACTACAGAAACTGAATAATCAAATATAAAATAAAATACAGTATAGTCTGCACTGTATACTACATATAAATTGATTCATAATAAAAATGCAAAAGTGATTCAGGGTTGTTGTTTTTTTTGGATTAGCGTTAGTGTGACAGGCGGAAACAGTTTATTAGTCGGCTGTCACTTTAAGAACAAATCCATGGATCTAATATACTGTTACACATCTGATTTGCTTCCAACTGTTTATGTTCACGTATAACATAACAGACTGTGTTTATGTGAATACTCCACACAAAGTGCTCCTGACATAATTGTGTGTGAACTTGACTGTATAAGTGCAATAAACTGTGAAAGAGAACTGAATTCAGGATCGCATGCATCTGAGAGGTGGAATTTGTGCTCGCGCTTCGGCTGTGTGTCCGACAGAGTGAACACTGAATTGAGTCCTTTTTCGCAGCTTACTGTGAATAACTCTAACATGCCAATAACTAGTACAGTGAAGTTAAAGAAATCGAGCCTCAAACCAGGCTGACAAAATCTCCATCAGAATGAAGAGAAAATAAGACAACAAGCGCAACTCTCTAAGACGCTCCAAGTCTTTCCTGAAGAGATTTGAGGCTTTACGTTCGCCCCACTCATACAAAAATATCTGCGTGTTCAATATGTACACCTAGAGAGGCGAGGGCGTCATGCGACTGAAAACAAAGTCTGGACGATCTACAACTCATCCTTTTCGTCTTCATCCTCTGGTGGCGGGCCACCCGCGCTGCCGTACAGTTTGCTTACGATGGCGTGCACGATTTCCTCCAGCTCCTTCTTCTTGGCCTGGAAGTCCTCGAGATCTGCGTCCTGGTGAGACTCCAGCCACTCGATCTTCTCCTCGACCGCCTTCTCGATGGCCTCCTTGTTGTCGGACGACAGTTTGCCACCCAGCTTCTCTTTGTCCCCGATCTGGTTCTTCAGGGAGTAGGAGTAGCTCTCCAGCTCGTTGCGGGCGTCGATGCGCTCCTTCAGCTTCTTGTCCTCATCGGCGAAGCGCTCGGCCTCGTTCACCATGCGTTGGATGTCCTCGGGCGTCAGACGGTTCTGGTCATTGGTGATGGTGATCTTGTTCTTGTTGCCCGTGCCCATGTCCTCTGCGGTGACGCGCAGAATGCTGTTGACGTCGATCTCGAAGGTGACCTCGATCTGAGGGACGCCGCGGGGAGCCGGAGGGATGCCGGTCAGGTCAAAGGTGCCCAGGAGGTTGTTATCCTTGGTCAGCGAACGCTCACCTGGAAGGATTGAGGGAAAGAGTGAGAACAGATTCTACTCTGAAGATTAAAGGCACAATATGCAAGTTTTCGCCGCTAGAGGTCGCATTTTCAAAACAATAAGAAAAGGCGAAGCTTGATGACATTATAAAGGAGAGTGGAATGATGGGAGATGTTGTTTTCTGGCCATCCAGAGATGTATGCAGAGCCGTTGAGAAACAGAGCTGCGACACTCCCATAGGCTTCCATAAGAACTGAGGAATGCGGAAGTAAAACGTGTCATGGAGCAGCCAGTAGTTGCATCATTGAAGCACATTCATTTTGCATTCATTGAAGAAATTACTGCATTTTTTTTTACATTTTAATGCATTAATTGACATATTGGAAATCTGAACAGTAGTGGTATTTTATGAAGCGCATTATAGTTAATGTTTATCGTTAGATAATAGACAGTTATACTATAATTGCAGTTAGATAAAGTAAGAAACACCTTAATGACCATAACCAGATGCTAATTCTCATATTTTTAAGTTTTTAGTCTTTCTGCAATATTTCTCTCTCTGTAGGAGGTTGAATGAGTTTCAATGAAGACTGCTCATTCAAGGAATGCAATAACGAGTTTTGCTGAATGATATCATAAAATAACACTGGGATGTGAGTAAATTTAACCTTCTTAAATTTAACATTTAAAAAAATAGAAACTTATAAAAATAGAGTTTTTGATAGTCTAAATATACATTCAAATGCAAAACCTAAAAAAAAGCAAGCAATTATGACCAGCAAAACACTTGAGCAACTACAGTAGAGCTAAATACATGTAGGCTATATTCATTAAACAGCCATTCCGGAATCTAGTGGTTAAACCATAGCATTACATATGAAAACATTTCTGGCCACCAGACGCCTTTAATTTGCCTCTTTGCACTTTAATTTAAAAACGTTTCTATTTTAACCCTAAATACTACACTAATTGTAATATAAATAATAAGCATATAAGAACATTTTTTAAATGGTCATTCATGGATCATAATTGTAAATTTAATCATTAAGGTCACATTTGACTGACAAGCAGTATGAACATATTAATGCTGACTCTTTATCACTCCCCAGAATAAAATGCTATTGTAAAGCGAAGTCAGCATAGTTATCGATGCACAATCAATGCACATTAGGTGTTAATAATTACTAGAAATTGCTGCAAATATAGTGAAGCTGCTGTCTATCTGCTTAAACCCATTCAAACATAGTGACAGCGCGGAGTTGTTTGGAACTATTGAGAGCTACATGAACCACATTGAAATCAAAGCATGTCGCAACTCTGTTTCTCAACAGCTCTGGATGTATGGAATTCATGAATCATGTTCACGGATGAGGTAATGAATTTATTTTTTATGACCTGTACCTTCAAACAGCGAATAAATTCTACAGAGAAAGTCAAGTCACCTTTATTTATATAGCGCTTTACTGATTGTACAATACTGATTGTGTCAAATCAGCTTTACAGTGTCAAACAGGAAAATAGTTTTTCAATAATGCAAGAGGACAACAACAAAGAGTCGTTTTTCAGCTAAAGTCAGTTAATTGATGATTCAGTGATGTCATCATCCAGTTCAGCTCTCTTCCAATAGTGTCTGTGCAATCAGTCAAACGTCCCCAACTTAGCAAGCCAAAGGCGACAGTGGCAAGAAACCAAAACTCCATAGGTGACAGAAATGGAGAAAAAACCTTGGGAGAAACCAGGCTTAGTGAGGGGGCCAGTTCTCCTCTGGCCAGACGAAACCAGCATGGTGTGGTTTAATTCCAGGCTGCAACACAGTTGCAGAGGACTCATCTGGTTCTCGTGGTCTTGTGCCGATGGTCATTGAGGTGATGAAGACTTCACAGGGGATCTGTCTCTAGGGCTTAGTTGACATGGTCTCCGCTGACATTTAGGGCTGTAGAGGTCGTCTCTAGGTGCTGATCCACCATCTGGACTGGATACAGACTGGATTTGTATGGCTACGGTGACCTCGGAATAAGAATGAAAGACACTAATATTAGCGTAGATTCTTTCTTACGATGTAGCGAGTACGTCGGGTGTTATGGGAAGTGTTCCCAGTTCCGGTTGACCTAATTAATGCAGCCTAACAATCCTTTAATGGATTTGAATTATAGAAATGCATCAGTGTGTTATGTGTATGCCAGGTTAAAGAGATGGGTCTTTAATCTAGATTTAAACTGACAGAGTGTGTCTGCCTCCTGAACAACGCTAGGTAGATTGTTCCAGAGTTTGTGCGCCAAGTAGGAAAAGGATCTGCCGCCAGCAGTTGATTTTGATATTCTAGGCCAGAGTTTTGAGATCACAGCGGACATGAAGGACTATAATGTGATATGAGCTCACTCAAGTATCGAGGAGCTAAACCATTCAGGGATTTATAAGTAATTAGCAAGATTTTAATATGTATTCGATGTTCAATAGGGAGCCAGTGCAGAGTTGAACCGGGCTAATATGGTCACTTACATTTCACTGCTGGTCATATGCTGCTGTCTATCTGCTTAAACCCATTCAAACATAGTGACAGCGCGGAGTTGTTTGGAACTATTGAGAGCTACATGAACCACATTGAAATCAAAGCATGTCGCAACTCTGTTTCTCAACAGCTCTGGATGTATGGAATTCATGAATCATGTTCACGGATGAGGTAATGAATTTATTTTTTATGACCTGTACCTTCAAACAGCGAATAAATTCTACAGAGAAAGTCAAGTCACCTTTATTTATATAGCGCTTTACTGATTGTACAATACTGATTGTGTCAAATCAGCTTTACAGTGTCAAACAGGAAAATAGTTTTTCAATAATGCAAGAGGACAACAACAAAGAGTCGTTTTTCAGCTAAAGTCAGTTAATTGATGATTCAGTGATGTCATCATCCAGTTCAGCTCTCTTCCAATAGTGTCTGTGCAATCAGTCAAACGTCCCCAACTTAGCAAGCCAAAGGCGACAGTGGCAAGAAACCAAAACTCCATAGGTGACAGAAATGGAGAAAAAACCTTGGGAGAAACCAGGCTTAGTTGGGGGGCCAGTTCTCCTCTGGCCAGACGAAACCAGCATGGTGTGGTTTAATTCCAGGCTGCAACACAGTTGCAGAGGACTCATCTGGTTCTCGTGGTCTTGTGCCGATGGTCATTGAGGTGATGAAGACTTCACAGGGGATCTGTCTCTAGGGCTTAGTTGACATGGTCTCCGCTGACATTTAGGGCTGTAGAGGTCGTCTCTAGGTGCTGATCCACCATCTGGACTGGATACAGACTGGATTTGTATGGCTACGGTGACCTCGGAATAAGAATGAAAGACACTAATATTAGCGTAGATTCTTTCTTACGATGTAGCGAGTACGTCGGGTGTTATGGGAAGTGTTCCCAGTTCCGGTTGACCTAATTAATGCAGCCTAACAATCCTTTAATGGATTTGAATTATAGAAATGCAACAGTGTGTTATGTGTATGCCAGGTTAAAGAGATGGGTCTTTAATCTAGATTTAAACTGACAGAGTGTGTCTGCCTCCTGAACAACGCTAGGTAGATTGTTCCAGAGTTTGTGCGCCAAGTAGGAAAAGGATCTGCCGCCAGCAGTTGATTTTGATATTCTAGGCCAGAGTTTTGAGATCACAGCGGACATGAAGGACTATAATGTGATATGAGCTCACTCAAGTATCGAGGAGCTAAACCATTCAGGGATTTATAAGTAATTAGCAAGATTTTAATATGTATTCGATGTTCAATAGGGAGCCAGTGCAGAGTTGAACCGGGCTAATATGGTCACTTACATTTCACTGCTGGTCATATATTCCCTATATAACCATGTATGTGACAAATAAAAAATCTTGAATCGTACTTCCTGGTTCTAGTAAGAACTGTAGCTGCAGCATTATGGACCAGATGGAGATGGTTTATTAAGTGCGCAGAGCAACCACCAAATAAAGCATTACAATAATCTATTCTTGAGGTCATGAACGCATGAATAAACGTTTCTGCATTTGACATTGTGAGCATATGTCGTAATTTAGATGTATTTTTAAGATGGAAAAATGTGGTTTTACAAATGCTAGAAACATGGTTTTCAAAGGAAAGATTGCTATCAAATTAATCAAAAAGCGCTAAGATCCAGTAGCACTAATAGAGAAATACAACCACGATCGGGTGATAAGAGCAGGTCATTTGTAACTCTGATGAGAGCAGTCTCAGTACTATGATGCAGTCTAAATCCTGACTGGAAATCCTCACAGATACCATTTCTGTCTAAGAAGGAACATAGCTGAGAGGATACTTCCTTTTCTAATTTTTTTGTTTTTTGACAGAAAAGGGAGATTTGAGATCAGTCTATATTAACTAATTCTCTAGGATCAAGTTGTGATTTTTTAATGAGAGGCTTAACAGCTAATTTGAAGGTTTTAGGTCTTAGCGAGCAAAGAACATTATCATTGTCAAAAAACATTGTGACTGACTTGTTTGGTGCGAGTATTCAAAAAACTCCCCTTATAAACAGTAAAGCTGTCTATACACTGTTTGATGAATTAATCTCTTACTTGCATCATTCGTACATCTGCACTTTGTTGTTTATGATGAGAATTCGCGAGTAGTATAATGTTAAAAGTTAGACAAAACAACGCAACCACATGAACACAGACCCCCCATGTTAAAATGCCCAACTTTACAGCAGAAAAAAATATGTTTACAGCCTGGTACAAAAAGTGGGTTGGGTCTATATAGCTAAATTTACCCTTCATGACAACTGTGAGGGGGTGATTTTTTTTTATAACTCATCTGTTTAAATTATATTAAGCCATAATTTCCTGCATAATTAAGGGAGTAGACACTTGAGTGACAGGTGGATTACTGCTGCTGTCACTACCGTCGAGGAAGGTGGGCGTGGTTTCAGCAATCAGTCACCTAAGCTCCACCCACATCCCACCTTCTTTGCCCATTTTCGATTATCCGGGAGTGACACGCTGCCAAGATGGCGACGGCCGACTTCGCCCA